TATGTGCTTTTATTAAGCTTGAACCGCTTCTATTATTATCATTTATTTTTATGGAATTGCAACATCATGAAAATGCATCTCGGACCACGTCACAATCGATGCACCCGTAGTTGTTAATACATTTTGACTCCGTTGAGACTTGGATTTGGGTCACATCAATGTGAACCCGATTTTAAGAATATAATTTACTTAAAGTCACGCTTAAAGAATCTAGACGCGTTATTATCTTTGGGGAAGGCAGTGGAATTTACTAAAACTGTCCCTCCCAAACTCTAAATATTTATCGTTGTCAATTATTGAGGGCCCCGCAATTTGTATTTTTATTTGGCGAGGCTCGTCTCATTATTTTAGAAGTGCATCCCACAGTGACTACATTTCTATTATTTTGTTTCCAGAGATAGAAGAACGAAAAATATATGCTAATTGAAGTATATGTCTTGGCCTAAATCGGACTCCTATCAATTTCTGATTAATTACTTATAAAGTAAGAAAACATCATGCCTTACGAAAATACTTTGGTCGAACAAAAGATTACATATGAGATTGATAAATGCAATACTTAATCCGAACATTACATACGAAAAGATTTCTTGTTGAACTTAACTGAACTTATTTGGGCTAGATTAAAGGATAACTGGCAAAGTAAAATGTTTTAATTTGACAAAGAATCATGTACTAGTTAACGAAATACAACACTTAATCCGAACACTTTTCGAGTTGAACTTAACTAAACTTACGTGGACTAATCTTGACTAAAAAAAACTAAATGAAACAGGAACAGTATCGTATAAGGTCGAAATATACATGCCCATATTAACAAACAAACTACCGAGCTAAAACAAAACAGGATAAACTTAGTCGAATATCAGTACATGCTCTCGAACTGCTGAATTATAAACTAATCAATTTTCACAGGCCTGTTAATGTACTATGAATATTACAGCAAATGCTTGAACTTCTTCAACCTTTTTCATTTCATGCTTTCAAACTGTTTCAATTACATCAATATGGGACTTGAAATGTGTACCTGAAAATGCTGAAAGTACAAAGGAGAAGAAGAAGAAGATGGGGGAATCAGCAACAGCAAAAAGCAGAATTAACAGTAGCAGCAGGACAAAAATGCAGCAGCAATAGTGAGCAAGATAGCAGCAGCAATCAGAATAGCACAACAGAAAGGATTCTGTTGCGAGATGGAACTAGAGTTGAAGAAGAAACAACCAGATGAAACAGCACACAGTGTGATACCCCAGACAGTCCAATTCCAGAATATACCAAATGCAACAGAACACTAACAATAATCTCGATTGAAATCTAGAAGAAGGGACACTGCCTAACGTATTGACAATAAATGAACTTCAGACAAACAAGACCAAGTTTCTGATTTCTTAATCTGTTTTTATCTCTTTCTTGCTCTCTTTCTATTCCTGCCAACTCTTTCTCTTTCTTTTCTATCCTCACAATGTATGTATTTCAAGTTTTCTCTTCCAAAACTCCTCACAGTGTATTTTCCTTCTCCCCTCTAATCCTCTCTATATCCTCTGATTCTCTAATTCTATCCTGTATATCCCAATCCTGTCTCTCCCCCTAATTCTGTCTGCTTTTTATCTCCCAGGTCCTCCTCCTTTATAAGCCTCAACACCATCTCTTTTAACAGCCTGTTTTCAGAATGTCACAGTACCCCTCCCATGTGTCTTTTACCTTTTCAGATCCCAATTAGTTATTTAAGTATATAACCTCCTTCAACATTCCCTGGCAGACTTACTTTTAAAAGGTTTAATACTTTTTAAACTTAAAGCAAGGTATGGGCAGTAGAATATATCTGACAGCATATGCTGTCAAATTGTTTAAAACTTAACAAAGACCTTTTATGCAGGCCACAGGCT